TTGGGCAACTATCCATTCAAACAGAGCTCCAAGGGCACGCAGATGTGTTTTAGCCTAAATACTGCACTAGACACATTTGAGAAGTCGGTCCCTCCTGTGTGACACAGGTACCTTAACAGATGTGGCATTCTCCTCCACAGTTCTTACAAGTAGGCTGTGTACTAAAAATGTTCAGCTTTCCCTGCTTCAAATTTTTAGTCATCTTTTCTTCTAATACTGAGTGAATACACGAATTCAGTTGGAAAAGATTATTTTCTTCCCTATACTGGGAACATTTTGAAGAAAACATGATTGCAAGTCATTTTCAAAAATTGTTAGCCCAAGATTTACTTGGCTCACCAGGTTTGGATTAGCCCATTTCTGTTCGTTAATCTTCCTCTTAGATTGGGTTTGCTCAAAACTGATTCTCACTTTAAATTGAGTGAATTATATGTTATATGAATTATATCTCAGTAAAGCTGTTACCCCCCAAAAAATACAGTGCACAGAACTCAATGAAAAGTCACTCAGGGCTTCATAGCCACGTAGCTTAAATGAAAAACTTCTCCTAGTCCTTGCAAATATATCCCAGATGAAGCCTGTCTGGTCTTGGGAGATTAAGGTAAACTTGGCTGAAACCCCAAATTTCACAATGAGAGTCCACAGCCCGCCCCATTTCTGCATATTGTCAAGTCTCTGCTTCATGGTCTTAATTTGTTGTTCTTGTGCGTCTTCTGATTCCTGTCCTTGCCAAAGGTCAGACCCCTTACCAGATGCTGCACAAGATTGTCAACTGCCTCCCACAAGCATTTTGTGAGTTTAGAACTCCACGGGAGATTTGGGGGTTACACAGCACATCCCCCAGTCTTCAGCCGCCTTGCCCACTCACTCCACTTTGTCCTTGTTTTACCCCCCCCCCCCATTCAAAATGTAAATTCCTTTCCTGTCTCGTGCCAGGCAGTTCTTCTCACACTTCCACCTCTTGACGTCTCAGCTGCTACTCTAAACAGGCTTCTTTTAAAAATGTAAGGAAGGCAGGCAGGCATATAATGGGGAGGGAGGGAAGGAGAGAGAGAGAAGTGAGGGTGGGTGGGAAGGAAGGAAGGAAGGAAGGAAGAGAGGGAGGGAGGGAGGGAGAGAGGGAGGGAGGAAGGAAGGAAGGAAGGAAGGGAGGAAGGGAGGAAGGGAGGGAGGGAGGGAGGGAGGGAGGGAGGGAGGGAGGGAGGGAGGAAGGAAGGAAGGAAGGAGAGAAAGGGAGAAAGAGAGGGAGGGAGGGAGAGAAAGAAAGAAAAAAAGAAAGAAAGAAAGAAAGAAAGAAAGAAAGAAAGAAAGAAAGAAAGAAGAAAGAAAGAAAGAAAGAAAGAAAGAAAGAAAAGTAAAGAAACCAAAGAAGGAAGCTTCGAAGGAACTGGGACCTTCTAAGAGGAATTCTCATACCAGCTATTAAAATAATATTTTCTTTTCTTCTAATATATATATATATATTTTCAAGTTGGAACTTCTTTAAGTAGGGAGAGAAATTTAACAACAGCCTTTGGTCCGCTCGCTGTAGACTTCCCCCAAGCCTTGGCCTTCTTACCAGAATGAAGCAATCCTCTTCTCGAGTTTACATTTAATTAGAATTGCAACTGTCATGATGATTAAGCCTCTCCCTTTGTCATTGTCTTTTCTTGGCATCATTTCTTTGGCTCAGCTTGCATGCTATAGACCGAGTATGAATCACAGAGAATCTGTGCTTTTTAACTGTGGCGAAACCATAGGCAGCCTTTTGTTTATTTCCAGAATCCGTTCCAAAACAGCTGTTAAATGTTCATCCTTGGTTTTGTCATCGTATTTGGGGGAATTGTAACAGCAGCATCTTCTGGTTTTAATTCTCCTGAAGAAAGCAAAAAAAGAACTCCCCAAGATGGTGTGCTGTGCGTAGGTGCTAGTTAATGACTTGTTTCCCCTCGTTTCCTTAATCAGGAAATTTCATAGTTGAGCAGCGGGGAGGTTCCCATGAACGCGGACCTGACCTAAGCCAAGCTGTGTGAAACGCTCCACCATGGAAACAGCTCGCTCTGCAGGCCTCTGAGTGTTCCAAACTGAGGCCAACCAGAAGCTTCCATTTGACACAGTGGTGAGGAAAGCTTGTAAATGTTTCGTGGTTAGTGATGGTTCCATCTCAAGTAAAATCAATCAGCTGAAAAGTACTACACGAAGTCGTCAGTCATCTGGTAGATTGGACACAAACTGGCTGGTGAGTTTGACTTCAGGGAGATGTCCTTCTTAAAAATCGCTGCTGAATGATGGACACACTTAATACCTTGCGGTATGAAGAAGCACTTGGGAAAATCAAGACAAATTGTGCCTTATCTAGGTACAAGATCTTGCTTAGTTTAGACTCTTTGCTTGAAGGCTAACAGCTTACCAAAACGGCCATTTTTAAATGTCTTGTGCCATGGTTAAATAGCTTTTTGTTTTTATCCTCACCTGAGGACATTTTTTTTTTTTTTTTTTTTGCATTTATCTTCAGATAGAGCGGGAGAGAGAGAGGGAGGAAGAGAGAGAGAGAGAAACATCGATGTGAGAGAGACACATCGACTGGCTGCCACCCACATGACCCCAACCGGGGCCGGGGACAAACTGCAACCCAGCTACGTGCCCTTAGCGGGAACCGAACCCGGGACTATGGTCCGTGGGCTGATTCTCTAACCGCTGAGCCAAACTGGCCAGGGCTAAATAGCTTTTTACCAAATGTTTTACACCGTAGCTGTACATTGGAATAACCTGAGGAGAGCTTTGGGAAAAAATACTGGACCCTACACCAAAGATTTTGATTCACGGGTCTAAAGTGAAACCCTGATAGTGGTCTTTCTAAAGTGCTCTCCAGGAACTGCTGATGTACAGCCAGGATTAGAGCCCCTGCATTCTGAAAATCACAACGCAAACACCCTTTGAAACCTCTGTGCTGTGCATGGGTACACCCCGTGCGCTTGTGTGCACTGCAAGACGTCAACTCATTTTACATTTGCTTGTCTTTTTTTTTTTTTTTTTATTCCTCACCCGAGGATACTTTTCTATTTATTATCAGATAGAGTGGGAGGGAGGGACAGAGAGAAACACTGATGTGATAGACCACATGATCTGGCTGCCTCCCGCACAACCCTACCAGGGCCGGGGATGAACTGCAACCTAGGTCCCTGCCCTTGACCAGAACTGAACCCGCGACTCATGGGTCCACAGGCCCACGTGCTAACTGCTGAGCCAAAGCGGCCAGGGCTGCCTGTCTTTTAAGTAGAATTTGTTCTCCTATCAGAGATAAATGACCCCATGACAAATAATTTTTGGCAAGCCTCACACTCATGTGTTCTCTCTTTCTCCTTTTTCTTCTCTTCCTCCTTCTTCCTCTTCTTCTTCTTTTCTCTTCTCTTTCTCTCTCTCTCTCCTCCTTTCTCTGCACAGCTTTCCTTTCTTCTTTCTCTGCAGATCAGCTTTCTTCATTCCTGCCACTCACGATTCCTGAGGTTTTACATCTCTGCCGTCCTAGACCCCAGATGGAGCTTGAGTCTCACAGAACTGAATCTCCAGTTTTTCTGAGAAAGAAATTCTGATTGCCCTAGCTTGGGTAGGTGCTCAACCTCAGACAATTATCTGGAGCCAATGATATAGGAATACCTGTACAAACACTCCTCCCACAGGGTATCACCTTGAACAATGGGGGCGAGGGTGAAGGAGTTTAACTGGACAGTCCCTGGTGACAAGGGAAATCACTGGCTTTTTGGCTAAATAGACACTTCAAAATATATCCACTAGAAAAGTCGAAGTATCTGCTGGGGCATGCTCATCCTCACCCTCTCCTGGATAGCTTTACCACGTGCTCCTTCCAACCAGTTTACCTCTGGAGGATCCAAGCTTTGAGCTGATTTTTTAATTCCCAGAGGCTCCCAGGCACTGAACCAGCACCATATGGGAGAGAAAGAAGGGAAGAAGAAGTACTTTTATGCCACAGAAAGAAGAGAATTATATTAAGAAAACAATAAGTATATTTTAAGCATCAAAGCATGACAAATTATTTCCACGAGGAGAACTGGATTAAGAGAAGAATAGTACATATTAAGCATGAAAGCTTGATGGATTATTTTAAGTTGTTGCCTTTGAGTCTTTTTTTTTTTTTCCCAAACCAAATGACTCAGCCACCAAGAGATTCTTTTGTTATATGATCAATCTTACTTTACTGCTAATATGGCAAGTTCAAATGATGATGTAGTTCTGATTAAATGTTGCATTGATAAAGCAGCCGGTTTCTCTGTCCTTATGTTCACTTTTTTATGAAGTTGTTATCTTCCAACAGTGATGCCTGAATCTATAAAAACAGACCCACTCATATATTTGAATAAAAAGTAAGTGGTCAAATTTAGGTGTAGGATTTTAAGGGTTTTGTTTGTTTGTTTGTTTGTTTGTTTAATCCTCACCTGGGGATATTTGTCTATTTAGCTTCAGCTAGAGAGAGAGAAAGAGAAAGGGAAAGAGAGAAACACTGATGTGAGAGAGACACATCGACTGGTTGCCTCCTGCACGGCCCCGACCAGGGCCAGGGATGAACCTCAACCGAAATACGTGCCCTTGACTGGAATCAAACCTGAGATTCTTTGGTCCGCAGGCCAATGTTTTATTGCTGAGCCAAACCGGTCAGGCTAAGATTTTAAGTTTTGATGGAACAATGTTGTGCAAGACAGAACAAGCGCTGTGTTTAGGAAAAGGGATTCCTTAAAGGCCATATGTATATTGGATAATATTCTGGCTTTGTGGCTTCATGATTCAAACCATGGTTTCTGCCTCTTTACTAGCTGTGAGATCTTCAAGCAAATAATTTCTCATCACAAAATAGGAATAGTAATAGCACTGCCTCTGAAGAGTTGGGCAAGGTTTACTTGAAATAATGGATTGTATCAGTTAGGGATTGTACCGGACTGCAAATAACAGAATCCTTGAGTAGATAGTAGCTTCAGAAGATCAGGCGATTTGTTTTTCTCACTCACCAAGAAGCCCAGAGGTAGGTAGTCACTGGTGTTGGTTCAGGGACTCCAAGATTTCAGAGCTGAAGTCTTGCAATTTCCCGTGATCTTTCTCTCAGGATTCAGCCATCATGTCCACATTCTTAACAACAACAAAAGAGAAAGCGGTGGTGATTCGGTCAAGACAGCAAAACTCTCCCAGGGCAGTGAACAACTTTAAGTTAGGGCAGGCTAAGTGCTATAACAAATAAGCCCCACTCACCAGTGGATTAATACAATAGAATTTCATTTCTCTTGCCAAGATCAATTGATAGCAGAGGGTGGGGGTTAGGGGGAAGAGGATGGGAAGCAGCCCTGCTTAGTGCACTCATGCAAAGACCAGTTTAACATATGGGGATTCCAAGGTCATGAATATCCCTCCAACAGACAGCGGAAGAGAGAGCATGGGGAATTGTGTAGGAAGGTTTAAGGATCGGGCTAGAATCGAGGTACGATATTTTTGTTCATAATTTATTGGCCAGACTTCAGTCAAGTGGGTGCACATAGATATAAGGCAGGGTCAGAAAACAGAGTCCCTGAATGGACAATCCTTCCCAGCAATGTGCCTCTGCCATGGAATGCAGTGTAACTCTTTGGGGACAGAGCTGTCTGCCACATTGGAGGTCCATAGCGACTTCTACATAAATATTATTGCCTAGAACTATGGCACTTGATCAGCCCCGCCTGCAATAATGGCAGGAAATGTAATTTTCAGCTGGTATCATTGCAACCCTGGACAGCTTAGGTTTCTCTTAGTAAGGAAGAAGATATTGCGTAGGCCCGTGGCGGTGTCTGCCACGTGTGAGAAAAGTGCTCAGCACGGTGCGAGCACTTAGCGAATATTCAGTAAATGCCGGCTGTTGTCACTGCTATGATATCTTTCTTAGGGAAAGACAGACTGTCTGACATAACTGTCTCTCATGCTATAAACCACTTACTCAGCATTCTGGTTTATTGAGTGCTGAACCTGGAATCAGAAGACCTGGTTTTAAATCCTGGCTTATGCCTGGCCGGTGTGGCACAGTGGTTGAGCGTCGACCCACGCACCAGGAGGTCGCTAGTTCGATTCCCCATCAGGGCACATGCCCAGGTTGTGGGCCCGATCCCTAGTGGGGGGCATGCAGGAGGCAGGCAATCAATGTTCTCTCTCATCGATGTTTCTATTTCTCTCTCCTTCTCCCTTCCTCTCTCTCTAAAATCAATAAAGAAAAAAAATATATTTTTTAAATCCTGGCTTAGCCCCTTATTATCTTCTCTGAGCCCCAGTTTCTTTATTGAAAAACAAAATGGGAAGGTTTAAACCTGCCTCGCAAGTTTGTTGTGTGGATTAACTGAGATAAGGAGCTCAAGTAGACTAAAAGCATTAGCTCGTACATACTACTTACATAACATTAACATGGAATCCCAAGTGGAAACAACTCAAATGCCCAATATGTTCGTTTCCTAGGGCCACCATAACAAAGCACTACAAATTGTAGCTTAAAACACGGGCATTTAGCCCTGGCCGGTTTGGCTCAGCTGTTAGAGCGTTGGCCTGCGGTCCTGAGAGACCCGGGTTCGGTTCCCGCTAAGGGCACGTACCTCGGTTGCAGTTTGTCCCTGGCCCTGGTCGGTTGTGCGGGTGGCAGCCACTCGATGTGTTCCTTTCACATCGATGTTTCTCTCTCTCTCTGTTCCTCTCTCTCCCTCCCACTCTACCTGAACAAACAATGGAAAAATGTCCTCAGGTGAGGATAAAAACAAACAAACAAACAAACAAACACGGGCATTTAGCCCAGCCGGTGTGGCTCAGTGGTTGAGTCATACACCAAGAGGTCACCAGTTCGATTCCCAGTCAGGGCACATGCCCAGGTTGTGGGCCTGATCCCCAATGGGGGGCATGCAGGAGGCGACCAATCGATGTTCTCTCTCATCGATGTTTCTCTCTCTCCCTCTCCCTTCCTCTCTCTCTAAAATCAATAAAGGGGGGAAAAAATAACACAGGCATTTATTCTCTTGCAGTTCCTGAGGCTAGAAGTCTGAAATCAAGGTGCTGGCAGAGCCAGGATCACTCTGAAGGCTCTAGGGGACAATCATTCCTTTCCTGTTCCAACTCTGGTGGTGGCTGGTAAGCCTCGGTGTCCTTGGCTTTCAGCTGCATCACCTCCAGTCACTGCTACTTTGTCGTCACATGGTGCTGTCACTGTGTGTCTCTTCTCCTCATCTTGTAATAAGGACACCAATCATATTGGATTAAGGGCCTACCCTACTTCAATATGACTTCATCTTATGTATTATTTTTTGTTAATCCTCACTGGAAGATATATTTTCCACTGATTTTTAGAGAGAGCGGAGGGAGGGAGGGAGAGAGAGAGTGGAAGGGAGAGAGAAACATCGATGTGAGAGAGAGAGACATCGATTGGTTGTCTCCCACATGTGCCCCAACTAGGGCCAAGGATCAAAACCTGCAACTCAAGTATGTGTCCTTAAGTTTGAGGGCCAACGCTCTAACCACTGAGCACACCGGCCAGGGCAATATGACCTCATCTTAACTAATTACATCTACCATGACTTTATTTCTACATTAGATCACGATCTGAGGTCCTGGGGGTTAGGACTTCAACATATCATTGGGGAGGGGACACAATTCAACCTATAACTTTCATCAAATGATGAATAGGTAAAATGTAGTATATCCATGAAATGGAATATTATTCAGCAATACAAAGGAATGAAGTACTGATCCACGCTACACCATGGATGAACCTCAAAATCATGCTTAGTGAAAGAGACCAGACACAAAAGGCCACATATTGTATCATTTCATTCACACAAAATGTTCAGAATAGACAAATCTATAGAGATGCAAAGTAGATTAGTGATTGCTTAGGGCTGGAGTTGGAGGGATAGAGAAGTAAGTGCCAAAGAGCATGGGGTTCCTTTTAGGGGGGACAATAATGTTCTCAAACTGACTGTGGTGATAGCTATACAAAGAAAATGAGGAAATGAAACTCTACCATTTTAAATAAGTTTAGGCCTTTAACGTTCAATAAATAACATTTCTAGGTTCCTGAAAGAACCTATACAGCTCATCCCATAAACGCTGCTGGAAAGCCTAAGTAAGACTTTCAGGCCTTCTCTCCAGCACCTCACCCCAAACTCCTCGTGAGAGGAGGAGGAGACTTAGCTGACCAAGGGGATTGGTGAGAACTGCCATCCACTGACGTCTATTTCCATGCTCTTTGCTCAGCATCTGAACGTCTCCCTGACTGGGAATGGAATGAGTTCCTTGATCTACAGCAAGGGTATCACCCTTTATACAGACTTAGCTCAGTTCTTTGCCCTCTGCTGCCACTGGAAGGAGGAACCACACGGTTTTCTTCTCCTTCAAACCTAAATCAGCACATAAACGTTCTTCTTACAGGTCAACTTGAGCAAGCTATTCAGCGCCCTATTGTAAACGTTTCCGTGAAATTATCTCAGCAGTGTCCCAAAATGACTCTAAAATTTGAGACATCTCCATTATCGTAAGACTGTTATTTAAACTTATTTCTCATACCTAAATATTCTAACTCTATTTCCTCTTCCACAGAGGAGTAGTAGAATCTTATTTCCACATAAAGAAAAGGCAACTGGGAGCTGACACGTTGCCCTTGCATACTGCCCCATTCCTGGCCTAGGGCCAGGGGCTGTCTGGGGCACTGACGGGACTAAGACGCAGAACCTGCTCTCAAGGTGCTTTGAATCAGGTTGACAACAGTGTGAATGGTGAGTGAAGTAGAAAGAACTAGTGCACTTGAGATTCGTAACTCCAACTGCCTCCAAAACTGCCCTGGGTTCCTTGTGAGTCTTTTTTTTTAAATTTGCACCAGAGGATATATATATATTTTTTTACGTGTATCTTCAGACAGAGTGGGAGGGAGAGAGTGAGAGAGAGAAACATCGACATGAGAAAAACACATTGACTGGTTGCCACCTGCACAACCCCAACTGGGGCCGGGGACGAACTGCAACCGAGGTGTGTGCCCTTGGCTGTAATCGAACCCTGGACTCTTTGGTCCAAGGGCCAACACTCTTTTTTTTTTTTTTCCTCACCCGAGGACATTTTTCCATTTTTTTGTACAGATAGAGTGGGAGGGAGAGAGAGGAAGGGAGAGAGAGAGAGGGAAACATCGACGTGAAGGGACACATCGAGTGGCTGCCACCCGCACGACCAACCAGGGCCGGGGACAAACTGCAACCGAAGTACGTGCCCTTAGCGGGAACCGAACCCGGGTCTCTCCAGACTGCAGGCCGATGCTCTAACCGCTGAGCCAAACTGGCCAGGGCCCAAGGGCCAACACTCTAACCGCTGAGCCAAACCAGCCAGGGCGTGTGTGAGTCTTTATGTCCCTCTCTGGGTCATTTATTTATTTATTTATTTATTTATTTATTTATTTATTATTATTTTTATCCTCTCCCGAGGACATTTTTGCATTTATCTTTAGATAGAGCAGAAGGAAGAAAGAGAGGAAGAGAGAGAGAAAAACATCGATGTGAGAAAGACACATTGAGTGGCTGCCACCCACACGACCCCAACCAGGGTGGGCACAAACTGCCAACAAGGTACGTGCCCTTAGCAGAAACCAAACCCGGGTCTCTCTGGACCGCAGGCTGCCGCTCTAACCACTGAGAAAAACTGGCCAGGGCTGGGTCTTTTTTTTTTTTTTTTTTTTGATTGATTTTTAGAGAGAGGGAGGGAGGGAGAAAGAGAGACTTGCTGATCCAACCATTCATGCATTCATTGGCTAATTCTTACATGTGCCCTGACCGGGGATCGAACCCACAGCCTTGGTGCATCCAAACAACTGAGCTACCTGGCCAGGTCCCTCTCTGGATCTTTAGTGATTTAGTGAAGCATTCCAAAGAAAGTTTATCTGGGTCTCTCTTCTTCCCTCTACCTCCACCTTTGAATAAGTAACACTTCTTTTTAAGGTGACTCCTATCCTTCCCAACCCCCACATCAACAGGCCATTTCTTCTGTTTCCAGCTGCCCCGGGGCTCAATACACATGTCTGTTGCATTAACAGGAAGAAAATGGAACTGAAAGAAAGTTTACCTAATTTGTAAAATAAAAATGAGTTTCGATCCCAGCAGCTTATGTATTATTCTCATAAGGACTGGGTTTACATCGATCACCTTTTCCATGTCAGTCAAGTGTGGAATGTGGTGAAGTTAGAAATGTAATTGTGTAGACATAAAAAATTGCATCTCTATAACCATCATTGGGACACTTTTCTCAAGATGCTATCTCGGTGTCCTTCAGAGCAATAACTATATCAATTGAGAATGTAACAGAAGCAACTTAAATGCTATGCCTCATTTACTTCTGGTAAAGCTAATGTGCTTCAGAACAAGACTATTGCTCACGACATAAGGCACCATCAGAGAGGCTGGAAACGCTTGAAGACCATTAAAATACAATGCCAGCCGTGCCTGCTGTTCAAATATTCTTCAACTTCTAATTTAAGGCGCCCACACCTAATAATGTAATTGTGTTATTCGCTCTGATAGCTGGAATCTATCTAAGCCAAATGCCTGGGAATTAGGGACTGTTGGGGCTAAGGGAGTCCAGAAGACAGACGAGGTAGATAAAATGTGTTATTTTGTACTGGCACATTCAACATCGGTGCTCGGTTACCGTCTAGGTGTTGAAATGTATTCAGAGGCAAAAGGACCTGAAGTCTCTTCTCTTGGCTGAGTCGAAGAGGCAGGGGAAATGCCTAAGCCACCTGGAGATCTAAACTCAGAAACCTGAGAGAGGAAGAGACTCACACACCTGTCCTTGGAATTACTGTCCACGTTAAATTTTCTCCAGCGTTGACAGTCCATTTTTGAATCAGGAAGTCATCTTGATAAAGCAGTCCACCCCACCCCTCCCCCACCTCACCCTGGGGGAATGCACAATCCCCTCCCTGATGAGCAAGTGGTCCCCAGTTTGAAAAAGGCAGCAGAAAAGGGCAATTTTAAAAGCCAATGCTGTGAAAGGTGATGGTTCCCCATCACGCAGGGAAATTATTTCTGTTTAATGCCTGCCTTGGGAGGGGGACACTTTAGGTTCAGGGACCCCACTGGCACATCGGGGCTTTGACTGGGACATGGTGCCAATTCAAACTGTCACACAGTACGGGGAGGGGGAAAAAGCCTAAATCAGTTTCTATTCTTTAATAGAAAGCAATACTGTAGTTTAAATTAGCAAGGCACTGCTGAACCACTATTTAAAATGCGTTTGCACTGACATCCCAAGAAAGGTTTTTTTTTCTTGTTTAATTGCACTGTCAGTGTGGAACGCTTTCACTTAAAACCATTCTGAGGTAGACCTTTTAATAGAAAGTGACAATTTAAATTGCCATGATAACAGCGTAAATGGTGCTTAAAGTCATTACTAAACTGATGTCACAGTTGGCTCCAGACCAGTTTGTTAAAGCCAAAGAAAAGGTGTTGGGGGAAGGGAGGAAAGTAACTAAATGGTGAATCATTAATTCCTTTTATATTCATTGTAATAACATTAGCTGTGATGAAGTCATCTGGCTCCCAATGGATGTAATGTACATTTCTATTGAATTCCACGTTATTCCAGTCTAATGTTGCCCCGATGAATGCCTCGTACTGAAGAATCGCTCTAGTCACAGGCACTTACTTCTCTGCAGTTACTTTATTTTCTTGTCTTCACTCCCGTGGTCCAAAGAGAAGAGCTGTGGCTTCCATTTGCTGGTTGGAGTTTCAGAAGCATAAGTGCTGGATTTATCTATTGCCTGAAATACATCAGATTCTCCTGGAAGCTCTTGGAAATGACTCTTGATATTTTTCAAGGGGCTCTGCCCCCAGAGCTCAAGGTGTCATGTCATGTGAGTTGAGGTCAAGGCCGCCTGAGTAGTGCCATTGGTCAAACTTGATTGGTTTGAACAAAACCAACTGGTTTGCTGAACCAATGGGGCCACATCTGGGGGTCCATTGGGTGGGGGCAGCATAAAATCTCAGGCAGTATGGTTCTGTGAACCTGGAAAGGTGCTCATAAATAGATTAAGGTTGAGTTGGGGACAATGGGAGGGATGGTGACAAGTGCTAGGAGAAATGGACAAGGAACAGAGAAGAATGTGGATTGAAAGCCATTCAGTCATCTTCAGTCTCTCGCTCAGATGTCTCAGTTCAGAAACATTCCCCCTTGAAAATCAGTTAATCATTAGTTTCAGGCACAATGGGTAAACTAGTTTATTATAAAAATTATCATTTTAAAATACAGGGTGTGGCAAAAGTCAGTTTATAGTTGTGAGTACGCAAAATACAGAGTTGATTCTTGTATTATTATCATTTCTTAATTATTGTATTATTTTCCATAAGAACAACTGTAAACCGACTTTTGCCCCCACCCTGTATGCTGCACATTCCTTTTTATTATATAAAAATTACTGAAGGACTCAATCATTGTAACTGGGTTCACAATAGAAAAACATACTTCACATTTTATCCTACCTCGAGGACATTTTTTTTTTTTTGCGTTTATTGTCAGAGCAGGAGGGAGAGAGAAACCTTGATGTGAGAGACACATCGAGTGGCTGCCACCCACACGACCCCAACCAGAGCTGGGGACAAACTGCAACCAAGGTATGTGCCCTTAGCGGGAACCGAACCCGGAACTGTCTGGTCCGCAGGCTGACACTTCAACCACTGAGCCAAACCAGCCAGGGCAAACATAGTTCACATTTTAAACTTAAAACATTATATTTAGGACTGGGTTTCTGTGTAGATGTACATTTTACTAAGGAGAGAGAGTTCATTTCTTTCATCAAAATTTGAAAGGAGTTTGCAAACAACAAAATAGTTAAGAACTATTAATCTAATATTACTTTACTTAAAAAAAAAAAAAACCAGTCTGGCCAGTGTGGCTCAGTGGTTGAGTGTTGACCCATGCACCAAGAGGTCGCTGGTTTGATTCCCTGTTGGGGCACATGGCCAGGTTGTGGGCCTGATCCCCAGTGGGGGGCATGCAGGAGGCAGCCAATCAATGTTCTCTCTCATCGATGTTTCTATCTCTCTCTCCCTCTCCCTTTCTCTTTCTCTAAAGTCAACAAAGGAGCCCTGGCTGGTTTGGCTCAGCGGTTGGACCAGAGAGACCCGGGTTCAGTTCCTGCTAAGGGCATGTACCTTGGTTGTAGTTTGTCTCTGGCCCCAGTTGGGGTCGTGTAGGTGGCAACCAGTCGATGTGTCTCTCACATGTTGATGTTTCTCTCTCTCTTCCTCTCTGTCTGAAGATAAATGCAAAAATATCCTCAGATGAGGATAAAAAAAAAAAAATCAATAAAGGCAAAAAAATTTTAAAAACAGAAAACAGAGGCCCAGAAAGGTGTTGACTTCCCAAGGTCACTGATAGCTCTTGGCCGATCTACAGACTCCTGGTCTCTGATGCCCAGTCCAAAACTGCTTTTTAACTTTTTTACAATTTTTCTTCCTTTTGCAAAACAATGCATACTATAATGCTGTGCTTTTCTGCAAGCCACTCTCCTGGCACCCTCAACTCCCTGGAACACAACTGTCCCTGGCAGAGGCAAGAGAGGCCTTGGAGCCACTGAAATTACTGTCACTACGTTCACGCACGTTGGTCCATGAAAGAACCACTGGAGAGATCACCTTCCACACTATTCATTATTTAACTCTTGCCCTGGCCGGTTTGGCTCAGCGGTTAGAGCGTCGGCCTGCGGTCCAGAGAGACCTGGGTTCGGTTCCCGCTAAGGGCACGTACCTCGGTTGCAGTTTGTCCCCGGCCCTGGTCTGTCGTGCGGGTGGCAGCCACTCGATGTGTCCCTTTCACGTGGATGTTTCTCTCTCTCTCTGTTCCTCTCTCTCCCTCCCACTCTACCTGAGCAAAAAATGGAAAAATGTCCTCGGGTGAGGATAAAAAAAAAAAAAAAAAATTAACTACAATTTATTGAGCTAAATAGTTATCAATGGTTTCTTTTTTTCTTCTCTTTCAAATTCTAAGAGAGTTTATTTGGAAAATTACAGAGGTAGTAGAAGTGAGCCAGCTGGGCTGCGTAGGCCCAGGAAACTAGTTCCAGAAGCAGAAGGGCCCTTGGAGCTTAGGAGAGGGAAGGGGAAGGTAACACGCCTGGGGGAATAAGAGGGGAAGGAAAGGCAGAAAGCGCCTAGCAATGCTTCCTTCATACATAATTCTGACAAATTTTGTTATCTGGTTTCACAGAAATAGCAGGAAGTTAGCTGAAAGAGGACTGCAAAAGGCAGGAACATTGATTTCGAATTGTGAGAGATTCACTCACAGTCTATCAGCAAAGAGAGAGCAAGAGCATCCATTGTCATATAGCAAAGACTCCTGGTCTCTGATGCTCAGTCCAACACTGCTTTCTAAAGTTTTTACATTATGTGAATTGTCCAGAATAAGCAAATCTATAGGCAGAAAGTAGACTAGTTGTTGATTAGGGCTGGACAGGATGGGAGGAAGGGGATGATGACTAAAGGATACAGGTTTCTTTTTGGGTTGTTTTTCTTTTATCCTCACTGGAGAACATTTTTCCATTTATCTTCAGATAGAGTGGGAAGGAGAGAAAGAGAGAAACATTGATGCAAAAGAGACACATCAACTGGTTGCCTCCCGCACAACCCTGACCAGGGCCAGGGACAAACTGCACCGAGGTACGTGCCCTTGATCAGAATCTAACCCGTGACTCACTGTTCCGGGGGCCAACGCTCAAACCACTGCGGCAAACCGGCCAGGGAGATACAGGGTTTCTTTTTGAAGTGATTAAAATGTTCTAAAGTTGCCTTGGCCATTGTGACTCAGTTGGTTGGAACATCCTCCTGTGCACTGAAGGGCTGTGGGTTCAATTCCCAGTCAAGGCACATACCCAGGTCGGGGGGGTGGGGGGGGCATGCAGGAGGCAGCTGATCGATGTTCCTGTCTCACATCGATGTTTGTCTCTCTCTGAAATCAATGAAAGCATATTCTTGGGTAAGGATTTAGTAATAATAATAATATAAAATGTTCCTGACAAACAAAATCAATCCAGAGACATGGAAGTAGGAAACAGACTGACAAACCTTAGGAAGAGATAAACCAAAGGACTTATATGCATATATGCATAACCAATGGACACAGATAATAGTAAGGTGAGGCAGGGTGGGGAGCAGGGAGTGAATGGGGGTCACAAAAAAGAGGGACATCTGTAATACTTTCAACAATAAAGATACATTTTAAAAAATGTTCTAAAACTCACTATGGTAATGGTTCTACACATCTGTGAATATACTAAAAACCACTGAAAAATCTTAGCCACCTTAGGGAAGATAATTCTAAAATGAGGGCAGGGGAAAAAGGAGGATGTGAGATCTAAATAAGCTTATAAAAATAAGCTTATTGTGTTTTGAAAGGCTAAGTCTTATTGGAGGAAACTAAGTGTTGGTGTCCAGAAAATGGGTAGTTAGTCTCTTGGGTTTAAGGGTCCAAGGAGAGCCCTGGCCGGTTTGGCTCAGCGGTTAGAGCGTCAGCCTGCGGTCCTGAGAGACCCGGGTTCGGTTCCCGCTAAGGGCACGTACTTCGGTTGCAGTTTGTCCCCGGCCCTGGTTGGTCGTGTGGGTGGCAGCCACTCGATGTGTCCCTTCACATCGATGTTTCTCTCTCTCTCTCCCTTCCTCTCTCTCCCTCCCACTCTATCTGTACAAAAAATGGAAAAAATATCCTCAGGTGAGGATAAAAAATAAAAAATAAAAAAAAAGGGTCCAAGGAGAGAAACTGCCTGCCGGAGTGGGGGAGGGGTAGTACAGAAGACGATCTAAAAGTCTTGAGAAAGGGTATGGTCCCTCCATCACTTTTGGGGTATAGGAGGAGCCCTCTGGCACCACTGAGATCCCTAGGGGTGAAAAGGGGGCAATGATTGTGAGTTTCACAAAGCACGGACACTTGGCCAGTCTGGGCCCAGCATTTCTGAGGCATCAGGGCACTGGAGAGGACCACCTGGGGTAGCTGATGGGACCAGACACTAAGAACTATAACCTCTGGAAGCCTGTGTGCCATGAGCCGAGCACCTTGGGTTGAACAAGTCACTGAGGGGGTGCAACACACTGGCCTGGGATAGGAGCTGGGCCTGGGGAATGTCACAGCAGCAAGACTGAGAGCACTGGGCAGCAGCCACGGAAGACTGATGTTCTTCGTGACACCAGGAGGCAGCAAATACCACTGTAGCAATGCCAGCACCAGGTGACAGTCAGCTGGGATCTTCCGTCTGGGCTATGTCAGGCTTACAAGGTTCTTAGACGTCCTGGAGGGGCGTGGAGGAGCCCAAAAGGCTTTCCTGCCCACCTGGCATACGTGGTTCTGAGTCCATCTTAATTGAACTTGGAAAATGAAAAGAGATGCAAGGTGCTTATACCCTGAAGTTTGTAGAGAAGTTCATACTCATGACAATGAGAATGATAAGCCCTTGAAGCTGTACAGAGCCTGGAATTTATGATGTGGTTTCACAAGCATCATCTCATGTGGTGCTCACAAAAACCCCATGAGAAGGTAGCTGGTGGATGTTATTCTTTTTTCTTTTTATTCCTCACCCGAGGCTATTTTCTCATTTATCTTCAGATAGAATGGGAGAGGGAGAGAGAGAAACAGAAACAGATAGACAGACAGATATTGATGTAAGAGAGACACACTGATTGGTTATCTTCCGCATGACCCTGACCAGGGCCGGGGACGAACAGCAACCAAGGTACGTGCCCTTGACTGGAATCGAACCCCTGACTT